TACCCCTACCCTAAACCTACCCGTCCACACCTACCCTTACCCTAAACTTACCCTTAAAACAATGTAAATATATTTTTGGTAGCACAATCTGATAGGTATAACGTTTCGTTGGTACATCGGCTATGGTAATACATTACATCCGGCAGGACACCCAAACGCTTGCCTATCATTCATCCACCATAAATATGGCTTATCATCTGAAATATGTAAGTATTAGCAACTTTACATGGCCGCTCAATCTAATGTCAATCTAGAAAAACGTGCACCATTGAAGCGTCTGAGCGTGGAAGCAGAACAGTAGCGCTCACTGCTGGACAGATGGAGGCACCGGTGCGCTCACTTGCTCTTAAAATACTCCGTAATTTGTGGTCATACAGATAAGAGTAATACATCTTTCGAATCTGTAAAGACCAATCTAGAAAAACGTGCACCATTGAAGCGTCTGAGCGTGGAAGCAGAACAGTAGCGCTCACTGCTGGACAGATGGAGGCACCGGTGCGCTCACTTGCTCTTAAAATACTCCGTAATTTGTGGTCATACAGATAAGAGTAATACATCTTTCGAATCTGTAAAGACTCTACATTCATGTGTGTGCACTCACAATAACAAAAATACGCGCTTTTGTAATATAATGAAAGCATACATGATGTGCTTTCTGCCGTCTCGGTCTGTGAACTTGAGCGCGGAACTCCGTGTAAACCTTTGCTTTACAGACATAAAAAATATATCTATAGAGAGTGAAATGTCTACTTTCAAATGAACCAATTCAAATGGAAAACAGAAATTCTCCGATTATGTAATCCGTATTACATTTAGTCATTTAGCAGACGCTTTTATCCAAAGCGACTTACAATTGGGGGATACATAAAGCGATTCTTCTTAAGAGAGGCAAACAGACACAAGAAGTGGTTGTAATACCAAGTTCTTAGACATTGTTCAAATAAGTACAAGCTAGAAAGAGAAGGAATAAAAAATTTTTTTTTTTTTTATGATGAAGTCAAGTAGCTTCGAAAGAGATGAGTTTTCAGCTGTCGCTTGAAAATTGTCAGGGATTCAGCATTCCGGATAGGGGTGGGAAGATCGTTCCACCAGCCAGGAGTGGTGAATGAGAATGTTCTGGAAAGTGATTTTGAGCCTCTCTGTGATGGTACCACGAGGCGTCGCTCACTAGCGGATCTCAGACTTCTGGAGGGGATGTAAATTCGTAGTAGTGAGTGGAAGTAGGCGGGTGCTGAGCCTGTGGCTGTTCTATATGCAAGCATCAATGTCTTGAACTTGATTCGGGCCGCAACCGGTAGCCAGTGCAAGGAGATGAAGAGAGGTGTAACATGGGCTCTTTTGGGCTCGTTGAAGACCAGTCGTGCCGCTGCATTCTGAATCACCGTATGAAACATGCATGCACATCCACTACTGCGGAGATGAGTCGGTGTCGCTGAGTTCATCTCTTAAAATGAATTTGCGTTAAGGCATTATTAACGTGTTAACTTTGACAGCTCTAATATATATATATATATATGACCCTGTACCACAAAACCAGTCATAAGTGTCAAATAAATAGATTTATACATCATCCGAAAGCTGAATAAATAATCTTTCCATTAATGTATGGTTTGTTAAGATATGACAATATCTGGCTGAGATACAACTATTTGACAATCTGGAATCTGAGGGTGCAAAAAAAAAAAAAATCGCCTTTAAGACTGGTTTTGTGCTCCAGGGTCACATATATCTGATGTACCATTGATTGAACACATTATGTACTGTTTAGGTATTAATATGTACAGTTTAATGCTAATATGCATCTTTAAGAAACTAAAATACACTCTTTAGAGGTAAATATGGTGCAAAGGTATGTCTTTTGAAAAGTTACCGCCCAAGTGACTGCTTTTTTCCTGAAAGTGCATAAGTCCACAGCTCGGTGCCATATTCCACCACACATTTTTATCAGTGTCCTTTGTGGTATCTTTTATGTTTACACTCCTGTTCTTGTGTTCCTGCTTTATATATATATACAGAAAACTGCTGGCTAAAGTTCTATCACTGAGGACAGCCGTGTTCGTTCCACTGCATGTCATATACTTCGTGGGAAGGCCTCGCTTTCAGAGCCGTATGGCCATTTTCTTCACTCACAAGCTGACGTAAAATAGGAGAACAATAGATTTAGCCACGGTCATGCCATCCACGGAGAAATCAAATGCACCAGGTAATCAGGAGTTTATGGACATTATTACATTTGTCATATTATGGGTCAATGTTTTCATGTTTTGAAGGATTTGGAAATTGATTATTTCCATGTATTATCAGTCTGCAGGTTAAGACGGTATGCATTACTACTGGCTTTTCTTTGGACATCATTCTGTTTGGTAAGACATTTTAAAGCAGATGTTAAAATGCTAATCAAATAAATAAGGCTGTGTGACATTAAAATCAATTTGAATTGAAAAAGCATTTTAAATTACAATTAAATTCCTAAATCTGAATTATGCATCTGAAATTAGCAAACAAATGCAGAATGAAATGAAGGTACAAATTTGTGGAACTGCTGTAATTGTAGTTTTAAAGTAAAATCAATAGGTTTTAGCAGGAATCAATGCATTTGTATGTTTGGTATTTATGCTTGCGCTGTCTGAAGCATTTGAGACATATTTTTTCTCTCAGCTCAGCTTTTTTATTTCATTTTATGTATTTATTTATTTATTTTAATTTCACAGTTGGGTCATTATTTGTAGGCTAAATATTAGAAAAATCACATGATTATTTCCATTTAGCATAGAGGCTTCTCCTGACCGCTCGCACTCTCCGTAAACTTCACAGACTTCACTGAATAAACAGACGGAGCACAAGAGAATAGGAGCACAATCATTTTGACAATACATTTGGCTAAATTTTTTCTTGTTAGACATTAAACATGGGTTTAAAATTATACATGTAAGATAAGTAAATGTATTTTATTAGAGCAGTAACAGTAAATAGACTTAAAGGGAGTTAAAATGTGAATGCAGGCTAATTAGCTGTATTAAAGGCAGGGTGATTTGTTTCAAAAACATTTTTTGTTATGCTAGTTGAAAGTCTCTTTGCATCCCGATAACAATCACTAAGTTAAAGTCATCAGGAAATAAAAAATGACAATTCAATTTTTTTACACAGTGTTGAATTATTTATTATAAATGATTTGTCCGTGCACATCATTATTTTTTTTAATTAATTTGCACTTGTAATCTTTAATCAAAAACATTAACCTCTCCTCGCCCTCTCAACAACATCTCTTCTCTTCACGACGTAAGACTTTTAGCACCCTTCGTCGGGAGTTTGATTGACAGGCGATCTGACCAATCATATTGCCGAATCCGCCATTTGGTTAGACAAACAAAACAGACAGGAAAGTTAATAGATTAACATCAATAGAGTCAAACTTGAAAATGTTGTATTGACGTCTTTCCGCGGTGGAGATAACAAACCTTCTAATGTTCATTCATGTGTATTTCACGTTATAACTAACAGGAAGAGATCAATTCACATTTGAACCGCTAGAACTGAGGTGCTACAGCGATCTGTCATATTAAAGAGCCACAAAAATGATATTTATTGTTTGAATTTCTTTAAAAAAATGACACATTTTGAAAGCTGAGATTTTGTTTCACTCCAAAAGTAACTTCTGTCTTGTCTCTTGGCGCATTGTCAGTGTCCTCTTTGCTCCGCAATGTATTTTTCAATGACTGATGATGTGTGGTGTGAGAACGCAATCGCCTCAGTTCAAACAGCACATGAACCGATCATCTCTTCCTCTTTACTGCTAGTTATAGCATGAAATAAACATGAATGAACATTTGAGTTATGTTGTCTCAACCACGGAAAGATGTCAGTACACCATAGTCCACTCACATTAATTTAACTCTCCTGTTTGGGTTGTTTTGTTGGACAAAATGGTGGATTCAGCATTATGATTGGTCAGGTCACCTGTCAATCAAACTCCAGGCAAAGGGTGAAATCCCGCCCTACATTCCAGAAGCCGGCTCACTCAGATGTACATCACAATAGGGAAGAAAAGACTATCGCAACTTACATTTCATGCCAACTTTAAGTGCTCTAAATGTATTTATATGTATTTATATTGTCTGTCCTTTATGAAAATTAAACATGGTTTTATTATAGTAAAAGTGTAGTAACCATGTTTTTTTGGCATATTGATTACCATTTGTACAACCTCATTTTTACTACAAATACCATGGTTAAGTATTGGCTTAAAATAAATTTTTATATTACATTTATTTCATTTGAAAAATTAATAAGATTAATCATAGAAATTATTGATAGATTTATTGATTATCAAAATAACCGTTATTTGCAGCTGAAACATGCTATATAACTTGCGTGCATAACACACTTGACTCCTGATATTTTCTCCACACATGGATAGTAGTCTCCTCTTTTATTTTCTGATGCCTGTGTTGCATAGCGTGTTCGTTATTTTGGGAGTGGAGCAATGCATGTTTCTTTTAGGTAGGGTTGTGTTTGTTTGGCTGGCGATTTCAAATTCCAACAGTATTTCTCAGAAATCACTAACTGCACCTGTAAGCTGGTATTTTAACACTGAAAAAGTTACAAACTTCAGCTTTAAATACTCTCATAATTAGTGGTGGGGAAGTGGATGGCATCTTTGTCACACACATATAACTTGCTGTTTGTTTTTGACTTGTTGTGTAAAGGAAACTCTTTACTTGATGCTTTTGAACCCAACCCATTGACCGTTTGTGCATGATTACGCCAAATGCCTACAGATCTATATAACTTTTCTAGTATTATCCAGAAAATATCTGTATCTACAATGAACATTAACCAGTTGCACATAGAAATAAATGGAATTTGGTATGAATGATATTCTGGTCCTCACTCAGGCTCTGTGGGCATTGAATGGTGGGATCCATATCAAACCATTTCAGCCCCCCAGACCTGTACCAGTTCCTCGAAATAACAATTCATCCATAATCTCAGCGGTTGACATGGGAATCAGCGATGAGGAGTGGGAAAGACTACAGAAGGCTCTGGACTGGCCTATTCCAGATGAAGAAATCACTCATCTGATTCAGAGCACAAGTCCAGTCCACTCAACTTTCTCTATTGTGGGACTCAAAGAGAGTTACAAAGTGGGAGAAAATATCTCTGTTATTATCACAGCCAGAGACCACAACAAGAACCTGAAAAGATATGGAGGAGACTTTTTCAAAGCAAAACTTTTCAGTACAGAGCTAAAGGTGAGTATATTTTATGACATATTTTTGAAAATAAACAAATAAATAAAATCAATATACAGACATTTGTTATGTTAAGTTTCACTTCCGATAATTGCTGATTTATTTACAAAAATATTACATATTATGTTTTATGTTTAAAAGCTTTAAAAAGTCTTTACCAACAGACATTAGTTTTCTGCATTACATTTGATCTTTTCCATTTCTCTTGAAGGCGAGTGTGTACGGGGAGGTTGTGGATCATTGTAATGGGACTTACTCTGTTGCTCTTCTTCTGCCCTGGGAAGGTCAGGCACAAGTTAATGTACGTCTAGAGCACTCCAGTGAGGTTGTGCAGATTCTTAAAAAATACAGGGAGTCTTCATTCCCACGCACCCACTTTAATGGCTACTTTGAAGGATCAGGACCCAAAAATACCAGGATCCGTGAAGTAGTAGAATGTAATCTTAAGTGGGGTGCAGATGGAAGTTGGAGGAAAGGAGACTGCTGTTGTGAGCATAAGGATATAAGAACAGGGACGGTGTGGCAGTGTGAGAGACCGAAGAATCTTTCCTGTGACAAACTGGTTCGTCATTCAGGCGGACGTTTGGAAAACCCATTAAATCTTCTTGAGCAGCAGCTTTTTTCAAAGTAATGATTCAAAATTAATTTCAGAATAATTGTAGAATTGTAAAACACACAAAAAAAGTGTACAAAATATATATATATTTTTTCTCCACAGGAAATTAACAAATGTTGCTATTAGTGGAGACCAAAAAATCCTGAATGTCCTTCCCAACACTACAGCCATTGGTATGTTTACATAATGGTCTTGGTACGTTTTGACCATCTCATCTCCTGTTTGAGGGGGGGGGGTGATTCTAACAGCAAACGAGAATTAGGCTTGAGTTATTTTTGTTTATTGTTAGCAAATTGGTTTATGTCATTAATATTTGGCACTGTTTAGACACTGAAATTGTCGCACACACTTAAGTGGCGTTTCAGAGAATGAAATATTTTAAAACACAGTAAACACAAATGGAAGTATGAAATAAATGAAGTAAAATATCATATGAAGTAAAAACATATATGAAACCTATAAGAAATAGGAACAATTTCATATATTAACATATATATCTAGGCCATACAAATATATGTTTATGTACTGTATGTGCAATACCATTTTGGACATAAATGCCATGTACAAGTATATCCATTATATAAGTAAATATACAAATATATGTTTTCCTGTTTTTGCAATAGGTCTAGGGATGGGTACAGAACCGGTATTTTTTTTTGGACCTGTATGTAATTGGGTCAATACCGGACTACCGATAAGCTTCAGGACAAACGATACTGTTACCGATACATGCTTTGTTTTATCTCCCCGTATACTTCTGTGTTAATGGCATATTAGAAGCGGCTGCTTGTCATTTTCCTGTTGGTCAGTGCGTGCCAGGGCTAACAACGAGCCGGGTGGGGCCCAAAATCAAGCCGCGTTTCCACTATTAGATCATTGCTACAGTAAAACCTGCCCTTAAAGCCGCCTTTCCACTATCTCCGACAAACGACAAGTGATAGACTGGAAGTCATTAATTTCCAATGGAGAGTAGAGCGGGAGCTGCATGGAGTTCCGATCATATGCATATGCAGAAAATTAGGATCTGATTTGACCTTCGGATGCGATACAATATTTGAACATCTGCGGCTACCTGATGTATTCTAATCAAAACTATGGGCGCGAGGTTAGAATGAACAATATTTTTCCACTTTAACGTTATTCTGTAAACACTACTTCTGTAAAATGGCACTTTAGAATAATTATGGCAGAAATAATTATTTAATAATTATCAAATAATTTAATTTTAAATTGTGTATATTGTTATTTATACAGTACTGGTCAAAGTTTGGACACTTTACTAGTTTTTTATGTTTTTGAAAGAGCACATTGTCTCACACACACACTGTAGACTTGCGTGGCATATAAACGGTTACTTGGGACGATGTCAAACCAGAGTTCTGTGTGAAGCTCTTATAATAAAATTAATGAAAATAATAAAATTAATGAAAATGAAGTGCAGTGCAAACTCTGCCGTGCAAAACTTGCTTACCAAAGACCACAAATGCCCCCGACTGGCAAAATTAGCAAAGGCTTACTTGTGTGCTCTCGCGACGTCTGTGCCATCACGCCAGGTTCACACATGCTCCGTCTGCAGTGTGTATGCAGTCCATGTGTGGTTCATATGCGATGCAGAAGCAGCACGGGCTCATTGTGCTTTCACACAGGAACGTGTTTGCAGTCCACTACTGATCCGTGCCTGCTCACCACAAACACAACATTTATCCATTATTTTGATTTTAAAAATAATGGACAGAGGATTCATGAGCTCGCAAAGCTCAGCACTGGACAAAAACTCAGCATTTTGAGCGGTGAGCGGATTCTAACCCTTATGAAAAAGACATTTATTCAAGTGTGCTATTAGTATACTTATTTTAAACTAAAAGTAGGAAAGTATACTTTTAGTCTACTTTTTATGTACGTCTCAGAAATGGGCTTTACATATTTTTCAGAAATATACTTAAAATGACATTTAAGTATACTTGACTTATAGAAAAACTTGAGAAAAATTCTAAATATATTTTAGCTATAATTGTGCTCCTAGAATCCGTGTTTTCATTGTTATACTGTAGGGGGTGCTAGTACACGTCTTCTGTACAGAATTTCCAAAAAACACAAGTGATTTATTACAAAACATATATAAACACAGATTATTGATTACATGTTGCATATATAAATAAAATTAATATCGTTGACATGGTTGCTGCATATAATACCATATGAGAAATCATCATATATTGTTAACACATGTACACATTTTACTGTGGGGATTTTATATATGTTATAATCTTATATCTTATGTGACAATTACATATAGCTTGATAGGTAACATATATGATAGTATCATTATTGATATAC